CTGATGGACTTTGGCCAAAATATTAATGTATAAAATTCTCGGTTTGAGCCTATACACCTTAAATAAAATGATCTACTCCAACTTCGTAGATACGTTCTGAGGAAATAAGGAGTTGGCTTTGAAAAAGCAATATGTAAAAAAATAATAACAGTGTACCGGGGAAAATTACCCAATTTCGAAGATGTCCGGAGACTGGAGTCGTTTACCAACTTGAAACAGTAAGATGACGTCAGATCAGATGACCTAAAGATGTCATGGCACATGACACTTTATTAGTAAACACCTGCGAACGAGGGTAATATAGATCCGCGGACGATTTGAAAGACTCATAAGCAATAATAACATTCAATAAATGAACTCCTAGTATTTGATGGACGCACGGTGTGTCAGCACTGAACATTCCTTTGTCGTCGAAGGCATGATACGAGACGGTCAACTGGGACCTTCAAACGTTCTCCATCAGCCAATTTTCTGCATTAGTTGCCCCATTTATAATCATCAGCAAACGATGAAAGGAATTCGGTAATTAGAGTTATTGCGGCTGACTGCGCATTCAGTGGCGGCACTCAGTGGAGTACTGCTCATACGCGTGATCCCCGTGTCTCGTTCATGACATTGACTTTTTGGAAGAACTACGGCCCTGAACAACGAAGCTTGTTGACTCTCGTCAGAACCGTTGGTGTGCAGATCGCTGAGAGTGGCTCAACCTTCCCACTCATTAATATTCAAAATATTCCACGGAGTCGTCGATACGGACGCAGGTACACCTTTGAGCTCATCCGGACAAGCTGTGTTAGCAAAACCTGCACACAGGAATAACGTCCCGAAATGTACGCAGATTTCCATTTTGGCTTGCACATTTATGTGGTCACTACACATTATTATTATCACTATTTTTATTAGTATTATTCAAAGGAGGACAGAAAAGTGGACAATGTATTGGAAATAAGCTACGACGCAGCTAAGCATACTGCCCACGACCATTCGCGCCATATCAACGGGAGAAGGAACGGTTACAACGACTGGGTAATAGGCGGACTATCTCTCCTGAGAAACTTGATACTTTACCTCGTTAACTATTGTTGATGTCGGTGGTGACCTATCCCATAGCTATTTTGGTTTGTCTGCTTTGTAAAACTTGGAAATATGTTCTCAAATTTTTGGTCCTCACAAAAAGCCGGTAGGTGCACAACCGGGACTGAATTAAATTTCTTCTTTTGCCCAAGTTGTGAAAAACTCAGTGGCCCCTGGAGTGCTTGTGTAGAGCTCACACTCTAAATACCTCAGCTACGACGAATCAGAAGCCGTGAGCTTGAGTAAACTTGTTGGCAATAATCGAGTACGCAGTGTAAGCTCAATATGGGCATTGGGGGTAAACTAAGCCGGAGGGGGGGGGGTACTGAAATCATTAATGGGAAAGTGGCCGAGGCTGAAACGGAAAAGACAACTTGATGTATGAGAAATCTGCTGCGAGAATGAAGAAAGCCTAGAATCCCCGCCAAAGACCTGTCTGACAGGAAACGCGGGTTATGAATACGCCAAACCTAACGGTAAACCTAATCCTTAGCGTAATTATAAACCTAACGTTAACCCTAGACTTGACACTACACCTAACCCTGAACCTACCACAAACCCTGGCCCTAACTCTAAGCCTAACCTTAACCCTGATCCTAACCTTAACCACAACCTCAACCCTAACATTAACCTTAACCCTACCCCAGCCTTGACACTAAACGTAAACCGAAACCGCAATCCAAATCCTAACTCTAACCAGAACCGTTAAACTTAACACAAATCCTAACCCTAAATTCAATTCTCAGCATGGCACTAACCCAGACCCGAAACATCAGGTTACTATTTTCGGTCTATGCTTTGGCTACCTTTCTACTGAAAAGTTCAACATCCTCCTTCGACGTACTTTATTTGTAATGGCCATATTGAGCGTACACTTGGGACCAGGACAGCCTAACCGACCCCTAGCGCTTATTATTTTCGGTGTAAATATAGAACATGCATACCTGTTGGAGGCCACGAAATTCGTGATTGCTTTTCATTCGCTTCTCGATATAATGTGATTAGTTACTGGTGGAAATAAAATATTTGGAATTTGTTTGGAATATCGTCATAAAAAGGACAAGGTCATAAGTAAAACACGATATATAATCGATGAAAAGGTCGTTTGAGACGCCACAGAAAAACAAGCAAAATGTGTCAGCTAATGTGTGATTCAGAATACAAAGGATCACCGGCACAAAGTCAGATAATTAATCGTTTTAGAGGTCTTTAGTGCTGGAGAAAACGACATAAGGGGACGGCTACGAATCCTTATTTCCGTCATTCAACTTTGGCTAACAAGCCAAACAAATTCACATCGAAGGCACGAATATTTTCAACACCTTCGGTTTTGTTCAGGAGCTTGGACTGATTGATGAGCCATCAGACGAAATGACCATTCCAGTCTCCCTTGTCTTTGTCGGTAATATCAATCAAGAAAACTGTCCAGATCGGTAATTATCAGTCGCATTTTTTTAACTTTGTAAGCATAGAAAAAATCCGCTCTTCAACATGGCTTCTGTCATTATCAAGTCGCCTGTTCCTGTTTATTTTGAGATTAGTTCCATTATCGGCATAAAGTGGCTTTCTACTGGAGCACTGGTCAAGCAAATACAGGTTGTCCTGCTTACTGACAAGAGCCAAATAATCGATCGCATGAGACATTCCTAACTGAATGAATTGAGTGTTAATCTGAAAGAATGAGAATATGACTATATGGGTAACATTCTTGTGCATTGAAGTTCGAGTATATTGGATCTGAATCCTATTTAAACAATAAATAAACTTTGGCGATCACCGCCCCAATGCTGTTTTGAGTATTTCTGGCTAACATTGACAAGGTGTGACCACGTGACCTAATGGGAGACATTGTAGTTTAAATTATGAATGGGGAAAACGTCCAAAACTGATCCTTCGGTTTTACGAGCCCGGGTCCCAGGCAGAACTGGCCGAAGCTGAAAAGATTTACTAGCGCACGATTGTAAGGGGTTCGAATCCCACCGAGGCGCCGAGTTTTTCACAGTTGGGTCACTATAAATTATTAAAAATCTGCCAAAATATCTAAGATATTTCTACTTATTTTTGCAAGGTCGACGAGAGGGAAATAAGAGTATTTGAGAAGAAGCATATTTTTACACTTATTTCAGACTCTAGTATAAAGTTACCGACAGGAAGTAAGTTTTGCATAAGGACCACACCCTATAATTATTCTTTGTGCGTTACTTTTTGAAAGTCTGCAATTATGCTCCATCATAGGACAGTTTCATGATTATTCGCAATCTACTGGATGTGGACTTATTATTGACGTTTGCACAGTTTATGGCCTGACTCATATCCCCTGAGCTATTTTCTTAAGAGCAGGAGGACGATACATCCCAAGGAAAGTGAATAACATATTGTTGGTAAATCGTCAGCATAAGTAAAGACTTGGGTTGTGCTTCAGAATGCGAAGAAATCAGTCGAGTTTTCAAAATCAAAATACACTCCTGACTTGAGTGCGAATATGATCGTATGGTTATTCACAATACTCAGGTTTTCCCCGTCTACTGTGCGAGATTCATTAATGACACTTGCAAAGTATATCATCTGACTCGTAGCCATCGCAGGTGGATTCCATGTGTGCGAAAAAATATAATTTTTCAGGGAACATTAATAATACTTTGCTCGAAATGGAGATTGTGATCTGAAATGGGCGTAAGGACGGTAAATTGCGAGCGAATTAGTCTATAGTGATTGTCGAATTGCGCCGCATCTATGGCACTCTCGCCCTCCTTACTGACCCGAACCCGACCCCAAGACAGACTCAAGAGGGCTGGAGGTGGGAGAGAGGGCGGATGACTGACAAAGTCCAGCAGCTGATCGCCCATGCCTCGTGTGTGCACGACGGATCAGAGCGTTGCATAATAACAGGAAAGGAACAGTTCGCATGCTGAGTGAATGGGAGTGCCATGGAGACACTGCAGTCTGATTCTCAGTCCTGAGGGGAAGACCGAGTTGACCCGTCAGTTGGTGGCCTCCAAAACCGTGAACCGTGAGAGCTGAAGGCGCGTCGGAGTGTTTATAATGGGTAATATGCGGTGGTTGTCATGCAGACGGAGTTCCTAAAGCCAAACTCTCACTCTCTTCCCTTTCTCAAGCACAATTCCACTGTCCGAGTCGATCAGTCCTCCGATGCGGAGATTGGGTGCAGTTACTGACAGAAGTAAAGATCCCATCTACGCATGGCGCACAGGATCTGGCCCCACGCAGTACACTACAGTGAGTGACCGATCTCATCTGAAATGCGTTTCCAGGTAGGAAGGATTACTTAGGTGATGTTCTAATACATCTTATCTTGCGGCAAAAGCCTATAATATTTCGGACTCGGCTGGATGTCTGCTTTTGAATGCACTTTTCCTCAATCTCCTGTGGAAACCGTAATCAGTAAAAAACGACTACTTAAGTAGCATGCATGTTTCATATTGATTTTCGATGGTCTTATAAATACAATGATATTTTATAAAAAAACATGAACGAAATACACTTTCTTTCACTTGTTTGATAGAAAGTTATGTCCTCTTTATATTTAAGACTCAAAGAAGGTGTTTAGTTAAGTTTTAAAAAAGTTTTCTAATTCCTGAATAATTTGCAACCTGATCAGTCGTTGCATTAGCGCTTAGTGATTTCAGTCTACAAGGTGCATGCGTTCCGCGTAAAGGAAATCATATATTGTTCTATGCCTTTAAAAAGATACCATAGAGAGTCCATGGAATTTTGCAATGGATGCGGACTATGTTGTACATTTAATGAGGAGCAGTGATAAACGAAGAGGCATGAATGAACATTGCGCAGTCTTAAAAATCTCATAGTTGGAAAATTCTTCAAAGCTACCAACAACCGCGGCCGTCTGCTTCATTGACTTTGCCGCCACGTTCGATTCCGTTTATCGTGAGTCCCTGTGGTAGCTGATGGCGCTAGATGGTGTACCGGCAAAAATCATCGCCATGATCAAGGCCTACTATCGCTCTACCACTGCGAGAGTCCTGGTCCGCAACAATCTTTCCCAACCGTTCGGTATTCAGTCTGGCGTTCGACAGGGTTGTATCCTGTCGTCCATTCTGTTCAACTATGCCATTTACTGGATCCTCGGGAGGGCCCTACACGAGGGTGACGACGTTGAGTTTGCACCCGAACACAGACTGACTGATCTCGACTATGCCGATGATATCGCCTAACTTGCTTCAAGTTTTGGTAATCTACAGTCTATGGTGTCACGGGTGAACGAGGTCGCTAAATCGGTCGGTTTATCCATAAACGCTAGGAGGACTCAAGTGTTCGCAAACTGCATCCCTGACCAGGAGAAGGCACCCCGGGGGATTGATGGCTGTCAACTTGAAGAAGTAGACAGTTTTAAATACCTCGGAGCGAGGCTGCTGCCTAACGGACAGAGTAAGGACGACATTGTCTTCCAAATCGATGCTGTCCACTGGGTTTTCTCAAGCCTTCGGAAATGCCTATGAATCCGACGTGACCTCTCCATCGCCACTAGGATTCGCGTGTATCGTGCATCTGTCCGGTCGGTCCTTCCCTACGGTTATGAATACTGGCCTTTGCGCGTGGAAGACGAGCGAAAACTGGAGGTATTTGTGGTTGAGGACCATCCTCCGAGTGAAGTTCACCGACTTCCTCTCAAATGAGATAGTTTGCGCTCGCTGTGACAGCATCGCAAGGATAACTCAGGCCATCCAAGAAAGACGACTGAAGTGGTTTGGGCATGTTATTCGACGTCCACCTCAGGAGCTCAGTGTTACTGCCCTCGGTCCGGGACCGTTGCCCCATTGGATGCGTCGAAGAGGGGTCAGTTCAAAACCTGGATCGACACAGTTTGTCAAGAACTGGAGGTGGTTCTTGGACCTTCGGTACTCGGTCTCCGTCATTGGCGAAGGGAATGGGTTGATCTGTCCAGATCTGCTGCCGCGGATCGTCACACGTGGAGAGGCACAGTTCGTGACATCATCGAGACCGGCTAGATCAGGCATGATCGCAGCTCTATCAAGTACAAGTATAGAGGTCACATGGAGGATCCGAATAACACGCTCTCAATTACGTGAGAGGTGCCTATTCCGCACCTAGGGTGGGTGATGTGGGAAGAGTTCGTGTGTGACATATGTGTTGGGGGACAGGAAAGTTACATTTGGAATCCCATTTTTTAAAATCGACCCACAGACATCCGTAGACGGAAGTTATCAAGTCTTACGGGTTTCCACGCGAAACCTGTGGCCGCTTGAAAGTTTTTCGGAAAAAACTCTAAAGCATAAGTCACGAGGCAAGATGTTTGGGAAAACGGGGAAAGTGCCGTTCAGTGATATTCTAACTACCCTGCATGTCTTTCGAAAGTCCCACAGTTTTTATAAGTTCAAGGATAAATGACTTCCCAGAAAGTTAGAGCGAGTCGTTCGTTCTTCCTTATCTCTCGCAAAATCATGTAACGGGTACATTTGAACCTATTGTAGGGATTAGTTTGGGCAAAATCGGGTCTGAGCTACGTCGAATGCAGTCGCATCAACGGAGACAGTACTGCTGTAAAGTGGGATCGGTTGTCTTCTGGATACAGGGTCTGCTAATGATAAAGGTAGCAGGAATCTCCTCCAGAAATTGTAGGATGGAGGACCCCATTTAACTGTCCGTAGACAGTCGATCGTGTCATACGGGGTTTTATTTTGGCATCCATTTGCAGCCCATTGTAGACATTACACTGCTGACACTAATTACTTCCCACGACCTCAACCCATTACTTAAACTTCGTAATTTTGAAAATTTGCCTTTCATTTATTTTTTACTTAATGCACTCGTTTCCGTTGCCATACGAAAGCGAACGGTAAGACGTGAATAACTGCGAAACATCTTGCAGGTCGTATAAATGCCAAAGGATTTTAAAAAGACAAATTAATTGGTTTTATTCCGGATGCCGTGAGCCTAAAGAAAGATTTTCCACGACATTACTTAAAAATGGAAGTTGTAGGGGGCGAACCGTGTGAATAAATTCGTCCAATATCCAAATTCCCAAGGGCTTTCGTTCGACTTCGTACTAAAACAGATTTTGCAGGCGAACATCAAAGAAAACTGCGCTAGTGTATGCCGTTGACTGTTCGAAGTTACACCTTCTGTAAGTGGCAGAAAATTTGTTTTTTTTTATTTTTAGTGTCTCTGCCAATTGGGGGTCACATGCCATATTCAACTAAATCGATTTGAACGGCTGACTGTTTTGAGAAAAACTACATTGGTCACATTTTGAAAAAAAGCAAGATAAAAGGGACTTCCCCGTTTTCACGCAGTTTGTAAAGGATAAAATCCTCTACGGAAAAAGGGTCGAAGAAGGCCCGAACATCAAACGTCGCTGTGGTCTGTAGGATCAGGGGGGTATTCAATGCGACGCAGCAGTACCGACTGCATCAGTTCCTTAGATGGCACAGGACCGTTCGATCGACCAAAATCAGCTAACTTAATTACTTCCTTTGAGCAGCTCCAAGCCCTTATTAGTTTTTTTATAAAAAAAATAACTTACATTTGCTGCTGCCTTCAACGCTCTTCGGTAAAAAAAACATTCCACTTACAACGGCCCTGTTTCTGTGGCATAATGTTTTAGATATACCGTTGTTTTCAGTATTTTCCATTCTCTAACGGAAATAGAAGAATTATAATGTTAAGTGATCGGTGCATTACGAGGACTAAGAACCCTGTGGCTTCTACGAGTCTACGAAATAATCAGACCAGTCGCAAGTTTTCGGACAAAATACAGTGTGGTAGTAACTTCAGGCAGTGTGCCATGTTAGAAACAAATGAAGTCCCCAAATACGTTTCTGTCGCAAACGTATATTTCTTCACATAAAGGACCAACTTCAGTCAGACGCCCTAATATAAAGAAACTTTTATTAAATACTACTGACCAGTCGGGTAATTTTCTTAGACTCTTAAGAACAAAATGAAGCGGGTACCAAAAAGACAGAACATGCATTAACTTGATCTCATTCGTTTTTAGGTTTATGAAATTTCTAAAGTTATCTCTGATGTATGCTTCTATATGTGCTTCGCTTCTTAATATTCCATAATTGAAAAGCTGAATAAACTAATCTATTCCAAGTTCGTAGATAATTTTTGAGGAAACAAAAGAGCGACAATTCCTAAATTAGAGTATCTACTAGAAAACAGACGGGGAATGCTGGGGAACCCACTGACGAGACCAAACCCTCGCAGCTGCGCCATGTAGCGGCAGTATATCGGCTAAACACGTGCATATGGGCTTTTAGCTAGTACCTGTGTTGTTTGTAAGGTATCATCTTACCCCAAAGTATACTTCTAACTTCCTGTCGGCAGTTAATGAATATTACGCGGTTATCCGCTGTGGCTGATGGACTTTGGCCGAAATATTAATGTATAAAATTCTCGGTTTGAGCCTATAGACCTTGAATAAACTGATCTACTCCAACTTCGTAGATACGTTCTGAGGAAATAAGGAGTTAGCTTTGAAAAAGCAATATGTAAAAAAGTAATAACAGTGTACCGGGGAAAATTACCCAATTTCGAAGATGTCCGGAGACTGGAGTCGTTTACCAACTTGAAACAGTAAGATGACGTCAGATCAGATGACCTAAAGATGTCACGGCACATGACACTTTATTAGTAAACACCTGCGAACGAGGGTTATATAGATCCGGGGACGATTCGAAAGACTCATAAGCAATAATAACATTCAATAAATGAACTCCTAGTATTTGATGGACGCACGGTGTGTCAGCACTGAATATGCCTTTTTCGTCGAAGGCATGAGACGAGAGAGACACTTTAAATTAGACGTTCAACTGCGACCTTCAAATGTTCTCCATCAGCCAATTTTCTGCATTAGTTGCCCCATTTATAATCATCAGCAAACGATGAAAAGAATTCGGTAATTAGAGTTATTGCGGCTGACTGCGCATTCAGTGGCGGCACTCAGTGGAGTACTGCTCATACGCGTGATCCCCGTGTCTCGTTCATGACATTGACTTTTTGGAAGAACTACGGCCCTGAACAACGAAGCTTGTTGACTCTCGTCAGAACCGTTGGTGTGCAGATCGCTGAGAGTGGCTCAACCTTCCCACTCATTAATATTCAAAATATTCCACGGAGTCGTCGATACGGACGCAGGTACACCTTTGAGCTCATCCGGACAAGCTGTGTTAGCAAAACCTGCACACAGGAATAACGTCCCGAAATGTACGCAGATTTCCATTTTGGCTTGCACATTTATGTGGTCACTACACATTTTTATTATCACTATTTTTATTAGTATTATTCAAAGGAGGACAGAAAAGTGGACAATGTATTGGAAATTAGCTACGACGCAGCTAAGCATACTGCCCACGACCATTCGCGCCATATCAACGGGAGAAGGAACGGTTACAACGACTGGGTAATAGACGGACTATCTCTGCTGTGAAACTTGATAATTTACTTCGTTAAATATTGTTGATGTCGGTGGTGGCCTATCCCATAGCTATTTTGGCTGGTCTGCTTTGTACAACTTGGAAATATGTTCTCAAATTTTTGGCCCTCACAAAAAGCCACAGAACTTATACTTTTTGTCTTAGATTATTTCGGTGTTATTGCACATTCTACGAAAGCAACTATCTCTTGAAATTTATATGCTTAAATATTTCAACTAACTCACTTTTTATAATCTTGTTTCGGATTTCAAAACACTGTGGCTTGGGAATTTGTCATAAAAACTTTCGTGATAGTTCACCGCAAAATTCATTAACTCTTATTTCAGGGCACACACAGTCAGCAAACAGAAAATCTGTCGGATTTGTTTGGTTTATATATTTCATGCAATTAGTTTGTAAGGCAAAAATAATTTGCATGTGACTATACAGATTAGTGCAGTATATCTGAATCTGACACGGAAAATAAAACAACCGGTCTGGCATTTCTTAGTTGCGATGTACAAACACTCAGGCAGAGTATTCCAATGGAGACGTAACTAATAAAATATTGGCGCAAGTCAGTTTTCAAGTGTCTCAAAGTCAGTGAAACTGGATGAATCCATTCAAAACATGAGTAGCGTATAATGAGCCACTATTGTTTACATAACCGCCTATATATCATTGATAGCTTCAAAGATAATATTTGCAACAATCTTAATATTAAAATGCTCAACGCCAAACTCGTAAGATATGTCCAGTTTGTTGCGAAATGCTTCTCTGTACCACTAAAACTTGGACTTTCCCGCGAAAAATAAATGACAGTTCCTATTTTATTGGGCATCTTCCACAAACATCGATTCATAAATTACCCCAACTTCATAATAACTGCCATTAAATTCAAATGTATTTTGAATGAGGTTTTATAAGTGGAATTTCCAATTACTCCTGTCGACGATGCGAGGAACTATTAGTATATTAATGAGTAAATGCCCCATATGCATTACAAAAAATTGACTTATTGATATATATATATATATATATATACGCATATATATACGTATATATATATATATATATATATATATATATATATATATCACTAAATGAATCTTGTGTTAACGCATTCGTTCAGTGGTTAATATATCAACCACTGAACGAATATTAGTCACACACGCTTAAAAACCCCATATATCATTCTCGGAACAAGAAATCATGGAGATTTATGGCGAAAAAATTATCGGCACAGGGGTGTCCGAATTCTGTGCTTTAGGACATACGTCAGAAAGGTTTAGTTAAAGACGTCTTTAGCTAAATATTTTCAGTCGACAAAACACAAACGTACACGTAGGACTGCATATATAGGCGGTCTGTCATCGAATATGCATTATCTGTCTAAAATGCTTCAGTGGTCTTTTCTCAGACATGGGTGAATATTATTAAACATGTGTTAGTTGGCGGAAAAAGCGGCCAACATTTCAGAAAAATCAGCGAGTCTTACACACTTCTAAGCATAAAATAAACTAGTTAACCAATCGCCTAAGTTTGTATTAATATATGTAAATACAACCACAGGCGTCTAGCATATTGTTCCTAGACTCCCTCTCCAATAATTGCGATGGTGGATTTTTGACCGCATTAATTAAGAACTTGGAACAGTAAAAATTACCTTAAAACTTGATTGCCTTAAAAACCGTGACAATACGGTCGACACTTACGTTTTAGTCTAAATTGGGAAGAAAAGTTCTAAGTTTGAAGTCAAATTCCACGAAAAAGTCCATCATCTTCCCAAAGCGTTCAAGGAATTTTGAGTGGTGAGTGACCTTGGTGGAATGACAGCCGAGGGTTAAAACAAACTGGTGTTGGGTTCGTCAATGAATTCAAACGCCTTTGAATGCCTAGTCTGCACTGACCCATAATAATTTCACTTTTGCTCTTCCTATTTTACATCCAGATATATCGAGTTTGTTACGTGCCTGTTTATGTCTTTCCTATTTAGAGGCATTTATAACTCAAAACACCAAAAATCTTGCATATTGGGTAAGACAGTTATTCAACCGCATATCGAATGTCGCTTCTCAGTATGGTCAATAAACTACTCAGGGAGACGAAGGGGTTTTGAAAAATTTCACACCTGGCAGTTAATTTTTTCGCCACATTTCGAATTTAAGCACTTACGAGCTTCCAGGCAGGCCCGAATACCCAATCCTACAGCAGAAGCATTAGCGTATGTGCCTTATTGTGGCAAATAGACTGAGCAACAAGACATTCTACGTGGGTTTTACCCCTTTTTTAACCCCCTCGAATATGTGACCGAGGGAACACACACAAACATCGTCTCAACTACCGCGTAGGTCTGCAACGCATTTGCGATCCGTGCAAGAAATGACCGAAGTATTCCCTACCTAGGCATGAGAACACACAGGAACCCTGATTTTTTGACATCCAACATAGCGCACGCCGTTGTAAAATTGGTATGATGTTTGAGTGCCGTTCCTTCTATGCATTAGCAAGCTACTAGTGCCTCCTAATATCTGCAATTAATATCGTCCGATCTGGACATAGTAATGACTCCCTGTCATTTTTCCGATAAAATAGCCACCGGTCAAAGTTTTCCCCTATTTTCATCCTCTTTTCACACGCCTCTAAAGTTTACTGGATGTAAAAGTTCTGACAGATTACTGCTATTCTTTTCTGGGTATTTTCTTCGCCACATTCTCTTCAAATTTTTCTGTTCTGTGCAGTCATTTGTTATTTTTGCGAGGCGACTCACCCCACTTCTCATACTGCTGCGCGTTCTTTATGTCACTGTTTGTATGCTCGCAGACTGCTATGCTGGATACCTCCTTCCAGAAGTAAATTTGGACTTCGCAAGCCAGTTTTCGTTTACCCCAGCCTCGTCTGACAGGTTTAACCCTCCTAAACGGTCTCTCCGCGTCCTCCATTTGGACAATCCATTGCTGCTATCTCCTACGATCAAGAATCCAATCTAAGCCATACAAATGAAATATTTCTGTCTCTGTATGTACATCCTACTTCTATCGGAACTGCTTAAATATGCGGACACTATCATATGATTCCTTTTGCATGGCTACTAAGTTAGGGCGCACTCGCTTGATTGTCCTCCCTGATGTCTAATGTGATTGTCAGTCATTTGTCTAGTGAACGTTATCAACTTTTTTAAGTTTGAGGACATCTGGAATCCTTTTATCAGACGGCTGTTTCACCTACTGAGCACCGACCTTCTAAAATTCGGAAATGTCATTTGACAGACATTCACTTGTTGTGGAGCATAAGGCTTGAGAATGGCCTTTGCTACCTAATTCGCAGTTTTTCTGTAAGGCGCTTCCTTGTGCTTATATACATTCCTCTTCACAGAGGAAGACATATCTCGTCGTAGTTTTCGGACAGTACAGACAGGGACCTTAGGGTTGCATTCAATAACTCAATAGTTCTGCTTGGCCTGGTTGGGAAGTTTGCCGTCCTGCGGGACAGAACTATTGCGTATAGAAGGAGGATCGAATTCATGATCAACACGTCTCTTTGGAAGGCATGATATAGATTCTCAAACACTCACTAGTGCGATAGTTCAATAGTGGTTTATGGGTGAACCTGACATGTATTGCTTCAAATGACACGCGTTATTGTGACTGATGGATTTCTGGGAACGGTTTAGCTGTGTTCTTGAGACGGCTCTCGTTATAGAAAAGAGCTGCGTCACACAAGTTTGAGAACGAAATACTGACTTGTGAGACCAAACTATCCCCACCTCATCCACCATCAGCTGATCATTTTTGTCTTATATGACGGCCATTGTGTACGCCGAACTCTTTTGATTGATAATGTATATAAAAAGTCAGTTTTCGCTATTTGGACCTGAATATGCTTCTGCATCTGCAGGGGTTCGCTGCTTAAGTCATTCTATGTAGACATCAGTTGGTTATGCATCTGTTGAGATCATTTTATTCTCCTTCCGGCTTCTAACAGATCTTACTCAGTATTCGAAGGCAAGAATGCTTTATTCTAGTGTAGGTCATAAGGTTCTTTTGTAGTCCGTCGCTTTGCATTTCAATATCTCAGTTCTGTTTCCCAGTACTCTCTTCGTCTTTTTCCCTCATTTTCATCCCCCTCTCATTAAAATCTTTCTTTGTTTTTATTCGGGTACTTTGGTTTAAAATTTCATCAAAAAACCCTAAGTCATTTCAAGTCGATAGGCGCAAGTGAATCGCGACTCGGCAGACCGAGTTCGTAATTTTTTGGAATCTGGCTCCCTGATTTCGGTTTTCGGCACTGTGAGGTCAGCTAATTTGGCCAAACTGCCGTCGCTGCATGTTGGTGATCTCTGTAAAGGTAGTTGTTTTTCCTCGGGCAAGTATTTAGATTTTGCATGGGGGTTAGTCCACATGCAATCACGCGTAAGGATATTTAACTATAATTAAGCGACGCGATAACCTGGTCCTCATTGTGAGTGTAGTGATGAACCGGAGGACTGATAATCAGGCTACAAATGCTCCTTCCCAAGGGGACCTTTATGGTATGTTCATTGATAGGAGCCCTGAGGCACCGTCATTTGCTTAGTTCAGTGTTATGAACGGATTTTCTGATAGCCTTATTAATGTACTATTGTTATTATGTACTTACGTATGTGCGCTCAATATAAAATATGGTCGTTTGCGGGGGGTACTTAGTCATTCAACAACAAAAGTGTAGTAACGCTAAACGTGAAAAAGGGATCTGGAAATGAAATTCATGGTTGGCGTGCAATGGGAGGCATTGGTTATTAGAAACTGAACAGTTCAAAGGTCTTTTGAACAAAGCCATGGTATCAGAGGCCACAGTCCCGCCTAGGAATGACTTGCATCTTCGGACTTTTCGCCGGTTAGAAATAACTTTTCTTCGTCTAGGTGTGTGCAGTGGAGTTTGGACTTGTAAGGATGACCACTCAGGTAACGTACGTTTGAGCACCCATGAAGTCTTCAGGCATCTGATGAACCACACGTCTAGTTTATTGGCGTTTTCCTGCGGTTGCTGTACATCATCAGCACTTCTGGTTGCTTTTAAGATATTCATGCTATATGCACACTTGACAGCACTCAGTGCGATCATTTCCATAAACGATGGAGCGAGCATGAGTTAATACTGAGCACTTTGGGCACCGCTTTCTTTCGGTACACTTTCGGATGCGCTGCTGCAAACAGCTAGGCCTCGCAGCCTTAATGATAGGAAGCTTTTATGCACCAGAAAATTTTCTCCTGGATTGCATACCACAAAATTTTTTGTAAGAGTCATCGATGACGCACGTTACCAAACGTCACCTCAAATTCAGACAAAATTGTATTTACTTGGCGGCTCTCATTTTTACTTTTCGTCCTTTTTTCTGTGAGTAAAGATCACTTGTAAGACAAGAGAGACCACTTTGAAAGCCGTGATCTACAGCATGTAATCAGTTTCTTTCTCCCAGATATATTTTTGAGTGTCGATTAGTAAGTTATCCATGATACCGCACAGAATACGGGTTGAACTAACGAAGCGGTAGTTTTTTGACTTACGTCAAGAATTTTCCTTGTAGATTGAGGACGCAAAGGCAGTTTACAATTCCTTTGGCAGTTCGCCTTCTTCTGTAAACTTTTCGAATATCATCGACAGCGGCTTGCACAGTATGTCGGCCAGATCTCGAAAGGCGAATGGACGAATTTGATTTGTATCAGGTGACTTGGCAGGCTTCAGTTCAATTCATTTGAGCTAAATTTAAATGTGCACCTTTGGGCCCCCTATTTGTCCCAATTAGCGGAAACACGTCGAAAATTAAGTCGAAGTAATTTGCCCTTATCGAAGTAGGCAAAAGGAAAATATCATTTTTGGTGCAAACGACACAGAAGCTTATCGTTGCTGTTCTGGGTGAAGAATAAGACTGAAAACACCCAGACAGCGCTGACGTTTTCGTTTGATTTTTCTTCTCCATTATTCGTTTTCGAACCTCAGTGTCGGAATCGGTGCATGAGTTCTACCGTTTTTACATATGTAATAGTATGGAGATATAGGATTCTCCGAAGAGTTCCACAGTATGCGTGGCATGGAGCTCCTTCTAAACTAATTATCTACACATTTATAGTCATCCTGTTGTTGGTTGTCCTCTTGTAAATGTTCGATACTACCCCCTAGTTGAAGGATCGTCTATAACTTATTTCTTCTGTTTAAGATGTCCTGAAATTTCTAGTCTGTATGCACCGGGCGGTTGTCCGTTTTTTCGTCTAACTGGACAATTCAAACCGATAATTCTTCTCACCAAGGAACTGAAAGTGTTCTAGTACTCATCAACTGATCCACGCTACGGGGTTGTCCACAAAACATCATCATTTACTTATTTTAAATAGTTTCCGGACGTCCTGTCTGCTAGGATATTATGGATGAAGAAGGGTACAAATATTAGTACGGTAAATTACCCTGATGTCGGACACAGTCTAACTGGTCAGGAGGTGCAGTGTGATATCCCAACAGCAACTTACCGAAAAGCTATGATCGTCAGTGTTTAAGTGCACATGCATACCAGATCGGTACCTTGCCTGCGTATAACACGATCATTGTGCCTGCCACTTATGCAGTGGAATCATTCCATAACAACCTTACGTAAGCACCGCTAATAGCCAATTTCTAGTTGCCTGGATAAAGCAACCGAAGCTGCATGAACGAGCCGCCCGAGAGACGGTGATGAGATGAAAATTAACGACAGACCTCCTTGCAAATATGCTGCCCGCATAAACTGAGTGAAAAACTCAGAACCGGTAAATCTGACTATATGTTGCGCACGTCATCTTTTGGGTTTCGTCGGTCCGCCGAACGTATTGGCCTGCCCGACTTTAATTAATATGAAAGAGGTGCAAAACCATGCGTCTGAGGATGATAGGTTCACCAGCGAGGGCACTGATAAATCCAGTGTAGTCATGTTATACATGGCCAATTCACTAAAAAGGGCAACAGGTCAGACGCAGGCAACTGTTTCACGGTCGCTACCCATCATCATTACGCCATGGGTCTTGTGAAACTAGGTATATAATCATGTCAAGCAAGCGTGTGACCCTCACCGTTGTTGTTTGGATCCCATTAGATCCAATTCTGTCCGTCCGACAGCTTGCTACTGGCGACAGCGAGCGCTGCGCCATTGGACAGCGTTTATGAT